TATATATATATATATATATATATATATATGTATAAGCAATAGTACAGTTGAAACAACTTACTACCAAAGACAGCTAAATATACTTTCTTCATAGTTTCCACGAGATATTTTCCACAAAACAAACGAACAATTTATAAAAACGGCTGATCGTACAAATGATGTTGCAATATTACAAATGATAGTTTCTTGTCAAATCTACGTTATGTATTCATAATCAGTGAATTAGGTAGCACGTCGTTATCGAACAAGATATATCTTTAATCCTGACGCGACAAATCGAGATAAAAACATTCCAAGTGCTGATATTATGTAGCAAAACTAGGATAATAAAAAGATTGTGCATCTCGGTAGACAATAATCATATATTATTGTTTTATTATGTCTAATTTTAATTATTTACTGACTCTTAGTTTTACATTACTATATTATTAAATTAATGAACAGAAAATAGTTGCACCACACGCAAATAATCTCATTAATAATAACAATATAATTATAGGATAAAATATTAATCGAATGTTTATTTTTTACCCTGTAAATAGGCATAACATTCATGTACCTTCTTTGTGCTGTTTTCTAAAACAACAGATATTAGATGAGCAATAAATACAACTTATTAAATCTGTTACAAAAAAATATTTTTGCATGATTTATTCATACCCAGTCTAAAGAGATTTATAAATACATAAAACCTAATAAATTGTACACTACAATATTTCAATTATAAATTAAGATAGATCTTTATTTTTGTATCTGTTGACTACTAATCTAAAAAATTAATATTATTAATTTGACAGTATAAATTTATCACAGATTCGTAATGCTTGGAGTTTTTTTTTTTTTCTTTAAGATAACTACAATTAAAATATATATTTACAATAATAGAGGTGCTACCATTTTTATATTTTTCTTTTAGTTTTATAATTCTAACCACAACTAATAGAAATCCAAACCCGTTGATCAGTTTTATAACAGTTATATAAATACAATTACCATTTGTCAAGTCTGTTATAAATTTATGTACATTATATTTATTAATTTATGAATAATGAATGTTAGAAGCCAGAATGAATGTTAATACAAAAATTGTATAACATATAACACATATATTTTTTTTACATGACAAAAGGCATTTGTTTAGATGAGTATCAAATAATAATCATTGTGTGCGAAAACATGACAAAAATATGATTATAAAATTGATAGTATTTCAAATATTACATAAATACTGTTTCTTGTATGCATACACTATGTAAAAACACAGCCAATTATATTAAACTTCTTATAAAATACTGAGTTTGTATTCTCTTTCCATTACAATTTTATAATACACTTTCCAATATACATAACAATGTCAATTATTTTCTCCATATTTTTATAAACTGTTACATTAACAAATAAAAAAAATTGTTTTAGACTTGTAAGAAACAAATACTAAGTACGATTCACGAATACTCGTTATATATACTTTACAATATCTTAATATTGCAATATTAATATTAACAACTTTTTGCGATATAATATTTAAATATTAAAAATAATCATGAAATATAAATTTTTTTCTACATATATAAAAATATACAATAACAGTGTAGATCAAAAACTACAAGAAACAAATATGTATAAATTTTCCTATATCTCATTCTTGAATGAGTTTATACCAATTGATACAATAATACTGTACTTATAAAGGAACTCCGTCTTTTTTACTAATGTAAGGAAAATGTATTACAAATGTACCTGGAACATTCGATTAATTTTATAAAAGAATATAATATTTAAATGTTGAAATAACTTAATAAAGAAAACGACTCGCAGGCATATTAACTGCACCCCGACAGTTACTAGGTGGAGGGTTTTCATCATCAGAATTCTCATTCTTTCTAAACAATATCGAATTATGTCGTCCGCGTTGAGATTTTTCAGCTTGATGCCTCAATTCCTCAATATAAGCTGTAGTATCGTTTGCCACCAGTTCTTGTAAATATTTACTTAATGTCGATAATTCGGGCTTATCTTCATCATAAAGTCCTTCAAACGGCACAGCTTTTTCATAAAATAATATATAAGGCGTATCCGGTGGTTTTAAATCTTTAAAGTCATTAAATGTCGTTTGTGAAACATAACTATCATTAAATTTGTACCAATTCTGCTTTGAATCGCGAGCATAAGTGAAATAATGGCCATAATCCATACTATAACCTGAATGAACAACAGCAGCATACAATTGATAACTTTCTGTAGATGGTGTAGATACTGGTAATTGTATAATTTCATTGTACATCACTTTGTGCCGCAATTTTGTTCTTAATCTGGTATCGAAATCATAACGAAAATGTTTCAATATTAAAATTAAATATGTCGGTGCATGCAAAATTTTTATGATTCTTTGTGCATCACATAATTTCATACATTTATCGCAACGATATTTATTTTCACCAGTCAATTTTTCTGGTGTAAGATAATAATTGATGAGATCTTGTACAGAAACTTCTTGATTCTCTTGTATCTCTTCTGGGAAGCACAACTGTAAGTCACGAAATTTATCCGTATTATGAGAACTAGTATCACACTGTGCACACTGATACGTGATTTCACATTTTCCTCCTAGTACTCTGTGCACAAGAGGTATTTGTGTATTTGTATCTTCCCCACCTACAGATTGTATTCCACTATCTGTGGAATCTGAATGTGAATCGCTAAGTTGTTGTACTTGTGCCAAATCTTCTCCTGTAATAAGAAGATATAAAATAAAGATATAAAATAGATATCTTTAAGATATAAAAAGATATAAAAAGAAGATATAAAATTAATACCAAATCTAAATCATTGTAATAAATCGTTATTTAAAAAAAAAAAATTACTTTGAGTAAAATCTGCTAATGACTGTGTTTTTCTCTCCAATACAATACTTCCACTTAAATTTCCTTCAGTTCTCCAACGCTTAATACAAGCTTCTTCCTCATTTACTGATGAAATATTATTTATTTCTCTATCATCCTTGTATTTAAGATTAGAATTATTAGCCTCACCATTTACAGTAGTCGACTTTTCTTGCTCGTGTAGAAGGTCTAAAAGATGACTGTTGGAAACCAATATAATACAGCATTTTAATTAAACTTATTTCATTATAATAGAAACTTATTCATTATAACTTATTTCATTTTTAAAAATTATAAATATGAAAGATTTATTATTATATTATCAAAATACATTCTATTAATTTTATTACAATTACCAAATTATAATTATAAAATGTTAGTTAATGTAAAAAATAAGCGTTAAAATACTAGCAGTATATTAACCAGAGAAATTCTGAACTATCTTGTTGTTGACCCGGTAGAAAATAAGCAGGACGTGAAGCTAATAAAATTTCAGTTGGTGCCAAGGAAATCCTTTTTGAATATAATAACAAAGCAAACAGATTTTGCAACTTTTTAAGTACAACTTGATCATCAGCTTTGACCAAAGGTTTGTACATTAATACTTCGTAACAAAATTGTCTAGTCATTAACAATGCTTGTAATACACTATTCATATAACATGTGTTCCCAAGATTAGAAAGTCCAACTTTTCCCAAATGTGTTTTTGGTGATTCAATTACTGGTTCGATCTCTTCCATTTCATCTATCCAAACATGATCATTCCATATTTCTCTAACAACATCCATCCGTGGTTGTACTGGAAAACTATTTTCCAAGTTAGTACAGATACGCTGATTTGAAAATCTTAATGTAAGTATTTTCATGATATCAACTAAATTTTGTATACATTCTTTGCTTGATTCAGAATCTTCTTTCATCAAAAAGAAAGATATTACCATTTGTGTATTTCTTATTATATTTTGAAACAAGGACGGTGATCCTTGTTTTTTTAATATATAAAATACAATTGTGGAAGCATTTTGACGAAATACAGGTATTGATAAAGCACGAAACATTACATCAAGCTTTGCTTTCGTGACTTCGATAAGTATTGAATATTTATGTCGTTTTTCTAAACCACGTATAAATTCCATAATCCAAATACTAAGTTGATCACCTATCCATTTTGGAAGCCAACTACATAAAACTTTCAAAGCTTGTGCTAATTGGGCATCAGAACGTGATTCTGAAAGAATCCAATCAACAGCTTGTGGTATAATAGAAGGTTCTACCACTTGCAATACAGCAGCTAAACCAGGTCCAGGATCTTGTTTTTGTTTGGTATCAGATATTATTCTGTATAATGTTTGCAAACATATGAAAATTAAGTTATCATTTTCAATATTCTTAGACCTTGATCTTATTACTTTTAGGAAGTTTTGTACTTTGGTAGCATTATCATTGAACTCAGAAATCTTTTTTGGATCACAAGGCATCACAAAGGTAGACAAACTAATAACAACTGCTTCGCAAAGTTTTGAATGACTCACAGATTCTGGTAAATAGACACTATATTCCAATAATACTTGAAGTATCATTGTCAGATGAGACATATCATTGATGTCTGTTTTCCTTAACATTGTTGCAACATCATTTGATATTGGATGAACGGTAAATGGTTTTTCTATTAAATATTTTGAAAACCAAATCATGATCTTCGGAACCTCTTGTATATTTCTTATTTCATCATTGAGTAGTTCTCGTAAGATACTTTCATAATTATTTAACTGTCCATAAACAGGTTCACTTTCTAATTTTTTTAGTGTGGTCCATCCTTCTGCAACGTCTGTATCTTTACCAACTATTATCAATTTCAAACATTGTTTAATGTCGTACTTAAGGATTTGTTCGGTATTCATTGTTCACAAATTATTATTTTAATACCACTTTAAATTGCTTCGCTTATAATTTTTAGCAAGAATTATTATTAACCTCAACCAAGAATGACTTTCACGAAAATCTAAAGGATTTCATGATCCTAGAGAAATAAAAAAAACAAGTGTCAACTTCGAAACAAAAAAAGTAACTATATTTACCGCAAAAAAATTTACTTTTCATTTTCAAAACCATTTATTTGTTCAAACGATTATTTACTTCTGTGGTCTTACAAATTTACTATAAAACTGATACTCCTCTGCTTTCGTTTTATTTCAATATTAAAAATTGAACATAATCAAAATAAATGTATGAAAACATTTTATACATGAAACTATCAACGCTTATAATTTTACAATTGTATACAGTGTAATCGCTTCTATTAAATACAAAAATATGTTTTAAAATATGTTGTTTCTAACATTGTTTTTAACTATTATTCGCGATAGATTATATGTGACAAGAGGATTGAAGAGGCGCTAGAAACACGAAAGCGCAAAATGTTGGCTACACTACAGGTTGTTTCGTTGGTTTCGACACAGCTCGCACGGTACGGGACGGCCAAGAATAGCAAAGAGCACGCGAATCTAGCCGTCCTGTAACTGAGTCTGGTGAAGGCGACCGACCGCTCCCTTCGTAGTCCGTCAGAACGTATTTTAGCATATATTTTTCTTAGTAGAGAAACGCGCGATCCGCGATTAAGTCGTATATGGAGGTAAGAAGAAGAAAACAATCATTTCAGCGTGTCGAATCACGCAAAGTGAACTGAAGTGAAGTGGCCTCGGCGAAGTGGAGTTCTAAAAGCAGTAGAGAAGGAGAGAGTGAGAAGAAGGGAAAGAAAGAGAAGAAGAGACTGTGTGCGAAGTGGTTATAAGGTTCTTGAGTGCAATCGTGCGTGTTTTCGGGCAATGTCTCTCGAAAGTCGTTCGAGTTCGGCCCTATTTAAGAGGGCTGAACAACTGAAACGCTGGGAACAGTCCGAAACAAATCGCGAACCGATCCAACCACGTCAGGTCGCGCGAAAGATCAAGTTCTCAGCGGATTGTGTGTTCCTGGCAGCATGCGCGGCAGGCGACAAGGAGGAGGTCGTACGTTTACTCCAAAAGGGGGCGGATATCAATACCGGAAATGTTGATGGTCTCACAGCATTACATCAGGTAAAATCTCTCGCTAACTCTGTCTCCCTTTTGTTTATATTCCATTTCGATACGACAGTGTCCACACAACAACAAACTCGATTCGGTTCTACCAGCTCTGCTTTCACCTCATGTTTTTCTCGTTCGATTATAATTCTTATTGCAAGATGGCTACTGCTTGCTCTAACTGTCTAATTTAACTGTAATCAATCAAATTTTCTTTCACGCCTGTAATCTACAATGTCACATTTAATAATGGAAGAAAGATGCAAATGTAGTTCCGCCACAGAATATACGCTTCCGCTATCTCTCGCAATTCAAGCCATACAACTACTCCCTCTGATAACACTCGACAAAACTGTTCAATCCCCCACTCCCATCCCTCTGTGATTATTGTTTATATATATATGTAGCAAATAAAATTTTCAAAATCAAGAAAATTATTACACTTATACCTGTTTATCTGATTATTTTATTAATAAGTTAATTAAATAGCATAGTTAACTCGGCAAATGCAATCAAATCTTATCTTTCCTCTTCTACTATCCTCTTATCTTAAAAATCTATATCAATTTTCTTGTATTTCATGTTCATATCAAAATTTATAACAATTATACCTGTAAGAATTAATTTGACTTCATAATTATCAATTGAAATATTAATTTTATGCAAATAAAGTCTAAAATCATAAAAGAGGATGTTTATTTGAACTTAATATTAAATATTTTATAAATTAGTATATATTTTTGATATATGGATTTAACAATGGATTTAATATTAATAAATATTGTATTGATTCATACTATCATACATTCAATCTATTTTATTAAACGAGTAAATTTAAAATATCAATTTAATCTGTTATACTAACTATGAAATATATCAAACTTAAGATAAAGATAAAATAAAAATATTTAAATTATTACTATTGTGGTAAAACAATATTTATATAAAATAATATTTTATAATTATTAATATCTGTATTATTTATTATCTGTATGAAAAATGAAAAGGATGAAGAAAATCTTATAAAAAATCAAAATCAAATTGTTTATATATTATAATAAAAATAAATTTTTTTTTATTGATTTATGTAAATATAGGTCATGTATTTAAAAAATGATTGACATATATTTTTTAGTAAAAAAGTATCTTTTTATTTGAATCTAGTGTTTACAAGAAATTATCAGGAAAATAGCACTTATTATATCAAAATATCTATACTATATATCAAAATTATTATAATCTTTGATTATTGCTCGCATTATTGCTGAAGTATATTCAATTTATAAATTTTATTGAATGAATTGCATTATAGTTATATAATTAGTAAATTGAACTAGAATCATTCATAAAGCATTTATATATCTATAGCAAAAATGACTTAGCTCAAAAAAAGCATATATAAATAACTTATTTTGCATAAACTATATCATATTTGTTACTATTATTTAAGTGTGATAGTAAGAGGAAGTTTAGGCATTTCATGGATTTGCGAAAATAGAATGTGAAAATACATCAGGCATCAAATGCTATTTATAGTTCTCTGTTAGAAGTCAGAGGCTACAGCATCTGTATTCTATGTCCTCTGTCTTAAAATGTTATGATACATAATGTCCTTTTTAATTTATATATGATGTCATTCTTCAATTTTCATGTTTATTTAAACATATATTTGTATATATTTGTATTCAAAGTAAAATAAAATAATTAAAGAATTTATAATTCTATTAAGTATAATGCAGTACTTAATTTATATACAATATTTAAATACCAAAATTCATTCATCTCAATAAATTATTAATAAATTTTTTTTTTACTTTCTTTTTCTTATTTCTATTTTACCTTTAAGAAAAGCTTATATTTTTGAAGACATTATTTATTAATGCAATTTTTTATATATTTTATCCCTAGTCATAAATATTATATCTTAAGATACTTAAGATACTTAATCATTTCCATAATTATAATTTGTACAATTAAAAGAAGTCTCAATGTTTTAATTGTAGGCATGTATCAATGATGATCTGGATATGGTCGAATTTTTAGTGGAAAAAGGAGCTGATATCAATTGTGGAGATAATGAAGGATGGACACCATTGCATGCAACTGCATCTTGTGGATTTATATCTATTGCTAAGTTAGTATTACTTTCATCTCGGTATTGAAAATATTGTGATTTAAAAATCTTAATAATTATTATAATATAATAATAAATTTCAGAAATTTTTTTAAATAAAAAAAATTTTTGCAGATATTTAATAGAAAAAGGATGTAACTTAGCAGCAGTTAACTATGATGGCCAATTAGCTCTTGATATTGCTGAAAGTGTTGAAATGGAAGATATGCTGCAACAACATATAAGCAAAGCTGGTTTATATTTATAATTATCTCTTATAAAAAATATATTGTAATCATTTAATTATAAAAGATATAAAATATACTTTATAATTTGATTCATAGGTATAGACTGTGATCAAGCCAGAAGTGAGGAAGAAAGATCAATGTTAAATGATGCTAGAGCATGGCAGTCAGGAGCAGCTGGCAAGGACTCAATCCATCCTAAATCAGGAGCTACTGCTCTTCATGTTGCTGCTGCTAAAGGCTATATTGATGTTATGGAGTAAGATTCTTCAGATTCTATTAAAATAAAATATTAGAAAAAATATTTATAGGGAAAATATAAATTATTTAAGAAAATTATTTGAGGAAAAATGTAAGTTAAAACTGTTGCTTGTTATGTTCTATATTTAACATTGGTATTTCAGAATATTATTACAAGCTAGATGTGATGTTAATGCTCAAGATTTTGATGGGTGGACACCTTTGCATGCTGCAGCACATTGGGGACAATTAGAAGCCTGTGACCTTCTAGTGGAAAATTTTTGTAATATGGACATTAAGAATTATGCTGTAAGATTACAATTGTTTTATATTATAAATAACCAAAATTGTTTCTTTCATAACTTTGCATTGATAGGATCAAACTGCATTTGACATTGCTGATTCAACTATATTATCAGCTTTGGAGGAATTAAAAGCAAAACAACAGTTGTTAATGAAAGATCATCCACAAATTATTAATAAGAAACAACCAACTATACCAAAGAAACGGTCTGTACTAGAAACGATTATTTATTTAAATCCTTATTTATACAAAAAATATTTTATTTATTGAATTAATCATATTACAGTGTATCGACAAATAATGAAAATACTATAACTATGCAAGAATCAGTGGAAACATTTGAAGAAGAGACACCAAATAAAGTCAAAAAGGTCGAATTAGAAATTCAATCTGATAAAGAAGATTCTAGTACTGGAACGAATAGTGATGTTGGTACGTTTTTTTTTTTTTTTTACATTACTTATATGGGTTTGCTGATTTGCATGTTTATATTTAAATATTTGGTAAATTATTTAACTTTATTACTAAATGGTGATGATTTTCTAAACTTAGAAATTCTATAAATATTATTGTGTAGAAAAAAATGTATTTAAACATATATTGTATAACACAATAATGTACAATACTTACAATTTTATTTAAAATTATGTGGCAGAGTAATAGTATCGGGGCACTCTGTGAATTAAAGAAAGTAAATTTAGTATTTTTCAATCATTTTATGTATATAAATACATTTTGATGAAATGTAAATTTTATAAAATTTTTACTTACTAATGATTGAAGAGTGCTGACTTAGGAATAGTTTTTTGTTTTATGAAGAATATGTTACGCACTATTCAGTTTTGCAAGTCTATTTTACTTACCTTAACAGCAATTTGTATTTCTTGTAACAATGCTGCATGGACAGAAGCGACACGTGAAACAGATATGGAAGAGAGTGATGGTGAAGGTGAATCTGAGACTAGCTCAGACTCACATTCTTCCACTTACTCCAATCAATCTGATAAGTCTAACGAATCAAACCATTCTCCATGTCTTACAGATGATGGTGAGTTTTGTCTGTAAGACTGTTTTTATACTCTTAAAATTATATTCTGTTGCATGTATTATATGTTTGTCTTTTTTTTGTTTTTTTTTCATAATGAAAATAATACTTTTAAAATTTATTTATTAAAAATATCCTATTGAAATTAATGGGTACATGTTCCATTGATGTCCTTCCTTCTTAAGAAGACATAGTAAAATTGATTTAATTTATATTATATTTTAATTTAATTTTACAGAAAAGAAAAATAGAGCAAATAGAGAAGAAATATCCTCGCGTAATACTTCGTCTCCTACCGATGCTAGTAAAGTTCCTAATCAGGTAATATTTATCAATATTTAACAATATATATTTTTGACCATCAGTGTTTACAATTTGATTTTTTAAGGCTCCAATAATGCCTCCAAAACAACAGACTGATAGTGAAGAAGGAGTTATACCATCTTGGCGACGTTCAGGCTCTTTCAGAAATAGGGTACAAAATACAGAAGGAACATACACTTTGTCTTCGAGTAAGTTATGAATATTATAAAGATATTTTATATTGTCTCACATCATCACAATACATTATTATTATTTTCTGTGCTACATATACATAGAGCTTGAAGAAAAGGATAAAAGTATTAAATCGCCAACTATGTCAAACAAGCTTAATACAGAACCTGAAGTTGTATTGACAAGAACACATAGCTTTGAAACGGATGAAAAGTAAGTTAATTGAATTTAATATATATATTGTTTGATATTACAATTGATATTACAATTTTCGAATTTCTTATTTAAATTTCATTAATATAATTATATTTTTTGTATCACGATTATTTATAATACTGCATATTTATGTTTATTGTTTTTTATAATAAAATTTGCAAGCAATTACTTACGTCAAAGATTAAATGCAGTAGCTTTTGTGCTTTATGCATATAGAAAATTAGTGTAGTTGTATGCATGGCATGGTGCATGTTATGCAGGTTTTATGAACAGTACTTGGCATTACGAGCTCGAATCAAGGCGTTTTCTTGTCCTACTCTCCATTGCTGCAATGCAACTACTCTTACTCACACGAATACTACAACACGTTCTGCATCTCTA